TGAATTGCTACCTCATAGCTTGTTCGAGAAAGAGTCTTTGCTATCGTCAAATCTGAGCCTGCATCTGCCATTCGATATATACAAGGTCGTTCTCCTAATGTGCAGTTCTTTAGAGCGAAGCTCTTACGCACATACTGCTGCGTTGAGCGGCGGCGCCTGTTGGCGTCGTCGGCGTAACTAACAGAGCGAACAAGGACGAAAGAGAGCGAACGCGGAGTCTGCTGATGTCACTCGCCACTGGCCTCTAACCTCGCCTTCTTCCTCCGTCACGCTCGCTGCCCCCCCCCCCCCCCCGGTAGCAGCTCGCGCGCGTGCGGGGCTGGCACGTGCACTGCGGCTGGCTTCGCTTGTCGTAACGGGGCTCTCGGCATTTCGCTTGGTTCGCGACGCCTGCAATGCACAAAGTGGTATGCGTAACGCTCGAGCACTGGCAATTTGCGTGGGAATATGTAAATAGCTACAACTGCAGATGGCCGAAACTACAGACGCACTTGGCGTTGCCCCAACACGAAAGTGCGCTCAAAATCACCATTAGATAGCATCGTCACAATTGGTGAATTTCTTGACAGTGCACGCGCCCAGCAGTCCTACGACTCAAGGCTGTGGAAAATGTCCGAGTCGCCACTCTGCTTTGCCTCCTTGTTCTTCATCGAAGCTCGTTTAGACTGCTGGTGTGACTCAATTGCTTTCACATTCCACTGTGGTCTGCGTATGGGCATGCTGTGCGTAGTACGGGGATCTACAATTTCAGGTAACATGCAGTCTCTGTAACTCTGATTAGTTGTGGAAGCATTCTGAATTTCCAAAAGTCATTATCTATTTCGATCTGCTGTACGTGGATGCCCTTCGACGTGCAGACGACGAAGTGGCAGAAACTTCTTTTAGTGATATGCAGCTGGCCTTGCACTTGGTAGAAATAGTTATGAGAGCAGCTCAATTTGGGTGGCTCGTGTACTTGGCTCCTTTGATTGTACTTTTTAGCTGCCTCGGATGGCTCCATGTCCTTCGCAGTGAATGGGCACTTCACCTCCACGATACCGTCGCTCGCAATTGATCCGTCTGGTGACGCCGCCAAGAATCCGTACTCTGGGTAAACAAATAACCCGCAAGGTTGCACAGCAGTTTCCATTTCTTGCTCGTATAACCGGAGTGCAACACGTTCCTGTTGTCTTCCATGCTCAAGAGCAGCACTGGTGAAATTTTTCTTATAGAGCAGGGTCTTCACGAGCGTGTCACACGGTGTCCATTCCCTCCTTTGGCATACTGCATAGAAATTCGACGCCGTTAGGCGCATGCTTCTTTCAAAATGCCATGTAGGATTATCAGCCTGTCCTCGAGTAGCCTTCTCGATTTCCATCTGCTGTTTCTCATTCACCTGCAGGCTTGCTAAAACAGCCCGTTCTTTCTCGGCATATTGCTCTGGTGGCATGTCTGGCTGCTGGCAATTCGGACCATAATGAATCATTGAGTCGTTCACCGTAGACTCCTTGCGCTTATGCTGCCGGTGGCCATTTTCTTCGAACAGTTTTCTTCTGAGAGACTCTTTGTTTGCTTTCTGAGCCGTCTTCTTGCTTGTGTAGCGCTTCAAGACGGCTGCGGGGCTCTTGCAGGTTATAGCTTTGGATGTGGTGCAGTGCCACTGTGGCCCCAGCTGAAAGCTGAGCCCACCTCCATAACAGCGGTGTTCATAAGAGCCCTTTTGACATCTGTTGATCTGTTTACCACCAGATAGTTTGGCTACCAGTGCCATGACTGCCTCGGCAAGATTACTTGTATCATCTGTCACAAGACGGTCAGCTTTGTCGGCAATTATATTGGCAGCGGTAACTATTTTCATTTGTAGCACCTTAGGCATGCCATCATAAATGTTGTCACCTTTGGTGCCATCACAGAAGTAGTCTTTGCATCTGTCGTGGCAACCTAAAACATGTTTTGGGCCATTTATGAGGTCACCCGCAAGCTAGCGCGTAAGGTCGGCTTTCTGGGCACGCTGCTTTTGTGCAGTACCCTGTACATCTCTAAGAATGTTTGCGTAGTGCTTTATGGCCTTCCGTGCACCATTCTTTAACCGCTTAATCCTAGGGCCACTTAGGATAGCTGAACTGCCCTTTGTTTCTTTGGCTATGCCATAGAGCCGAGTGGTGTAACATTTCACAACATGGTTTGCACATTCCCTCTTTTTTACAAAGCACCGGTACTCCACTTTCGTGAGTATCTGATGTAAAACGGACAAATCTCCGTCCCCTATCAATATCCGGTATTCCACACCATGCATTTCCACGCTTCTCTGGAAGCCTTCAACGATAATATCCGACTCCATTGCCCCTGAGCTTTGGTTCCAATTCTTGTAGCACACATGATATTCCTTGCCCTTTCCCGTCCTAGAATAGTGCTCACAGGTACTGCACAGCTTGTTTCGTACTCCTAGGTAGAGGAGCTTCTTCGTGCGTTCTCCTATAATCACAGCGACACCAGAGTTGGCGGAATACCGGTGTCCATGACTGCGGTGTGACCACCCACCATCGACAATCACTGTAATATAGGGGGTTATGCCATCCTCACAGAAAGCCCCAGCTTCTTCCGCGAGTTTTTTTCTTCTTTTCCGGCTTTTATCATTTGGTCAAAAAGGACGGTTTTCCAGCACTGCAACAAAACAAAAATTACAGCAGATTACAACGTCGAAATTGTTTTCACAATAGCGATGCCGCACTTTGTAATTGCGTCAATGCGTGAGTGAGCTCCTAGACAGGACGAAAACTGGCTCACTTGTAATCCTGACATTTCACGATCAATCGTTTCATTGTATACGACGAAATGTTGCAGAGAAATTCTCATCGTGTCGTACTCCCGTTCAAAACGCTTGCCATGCACGTGCCACTGTCGCTTCACGTGAATTTTACTAAAAATAAAGCGCTGTACATACTCCATCGTCTTCAGAAAGAGAAAATAAATATTTATCAGCTTATTTACCTTTCCCAGGGACTCCTCCCGGCGTAGAAAAGCCCCTTTGCTCATATCAGGAATTTCCATGACTGCCATTGCTTCCTCAAACTGCGAGTGGCCCGATCCGATACTCATGAATGCCCAAACAGCAGCATCATTGACTCCTACGTTTGCTTTGTCAGTGAGGGACGTTGGTTCTGTGACGGGGTCAGTCGTCAACTTTCTGATTTCCTGACATTCACTGCAGGTAAAAGTGAGCTCCGACCAGAGCCCCACTCTCCGTTCTTTCACGAGTGCAAAACGTCCAGTCAGCTTAGGACAGCTGTGGTCCTCGAGACTACGAACAGCGTTAGCGAAATGGGCCAGCGACACAACTCGTCTTCCGGTGATGATCGGCTCCTCTGGCTGAGTTGCGACGCTTGTCTCCTGACTCAGGCCCGGCAGCGACTCTTTGACGATGCCGAAATTGTCCCAGTATTCAGACGTTGCGTCATCCTCTCTGGCAAAACCACTGTCGTCCAAGCATGGCGTACAGGCGGCGCTTTGGCATTGCTCTCTGTTGCTCTCCGGCGAATTCGCCTTCTTGAAAATTTTACAGGAAAGTACATCATGTGGTTAGTGAGCTAGCACCAGATACAGGGATCGTAGCAACTACACTTCCAAAGCTGGCATGAATAATAAGCTGGAGTGGTGAGGGACCGATGCAAAACTCAAAATAAAAGGGCGAGTCCTTTTCTCAGGCGGGATAGTTACTGAAAAGAATTTCTCCCGACAGTCGTCTACTATGGGTTGCTTGAATGTCGATAAAAGGCAAGATAGACGATACAGGTGTTTGTGCTGCCTTCCTTGAACCTAATCAATCAATCAATCAATCAATATATCAATATATCAATAAATAGTTTTGTTTCTAAAAAATCATATTTACGGTAGAAAAGGGTGGCCGGGATAAAATATGAACCATTACGGATTGACAAGTGCGTCATAGCGTTTTGAGAGGATGGTTGGGCGGATAGGGCATGTGACACGCTGTGTGCGCGCGTGTCCGTGCGCTGTGGGATAAGCGCTCGTGTGTACAGAATCATTTGATTGGGTGCATCTTGCATCTTTTTTTTTTTACTTTGAGCACAGTCTAGCTTTTATAGAACACTTTCTCAGTTACAGTGCTCAGCTCTCAAGCACGCCGCGTGCTTGCGAAAAAAGCAGCATCAGACAAAAATGCCGGGCTTTGCCACCACTGCTCAATGTTCCGCCCGCAAATATGCTGTTCGATCGGACAAGTGCAGGTCAGGAAGATAGACGGAGCCCAAAGCCACGACAAATAAAAGGCGCCCAAGCAGATAAACACGCAAGCAGGAGCGTTGTGACGTACACACAGCGTGCTGTAGGTCCTGGTTCGCCCAGACCTCTCGTCACAGCGCTAAAAATCACCTACCCTTAGCCTTTTGATACACGGCAGCGACATTTCAGATACACAAAGAAACAAGGCTTTTTATAGACTCCACACGTCCGTAGATCTCAGCACTTTCTTCTCACGGGCGCGCATTATCTAGGAGTGACTGCGTGTCCAGCGTCCTGTACACGCACCTAAAGGCGCTGCAGCGACAAAGTACGGGCTATAGCATTGGACAGTTTTGTTCACCTGAAGCCGTAAAACAGAAGTTCTAACGAATCATCTTTGTACATATATAGCCGCCAAAACTAACATGCCAACATAAAATAGAGTAAAGTATAGCAGTGTAGCTGGCAATGTAAAGCTGATCATAGAAAGAATGTCGCCCACAACGTGACAACTTGCCTTCTGCTTCCTTCCTTCCTTTACGGAGCCCACATTGCGTCTGGGGTACAAAACGAGCTCGCCACCGTATCAAGAATAGACTTCTATAATGTTTTTTTTTCTTTTTGGTGCTGTAGCTGCGCGCTTTTATTATCAAAAGAAACCACAGTAATCGAAATGGTCTTACCTTGAATGGTGTGAAAATGCAGCTGCTGCCCGTGCTCGACATGTCGCGATGGCGGCTCTCTTCCTCTTCCGTGAAGCTCTATCCTTATGATTTGTCATGACTCATGTGAAGCCCGGCAAGGCACTCGTGCTGCAGGTACTCCCACAGGCACTCGCAGCGCACGCTAAGCAAACTCTAAAGAAGCCCTCTATGCGAGCAGTGGACACCAGTGGATTCGGCAGAAATGCATTCTATCTCTAGTGTCTCACGCTACTACAGCACTGTCGCCTTCTGTGCTGAGCACGCATTTTTGTGTCCGTCCTCATCCTCACTCATTCCGCCTCCCCCCTCGTCATGCTGCCTCGCACCTTCAGGCTATCAGAGTGGCTGTTATTCCACATCTCCAGCCCTCCTGCGAGGCCATCTAGACTATTCAGGTGTTAGTGGTGTCGCCTTGGGCACCCCTTCTTCCCATGGAAGCACCTGGTAAAACGCGTTCCTCGCTCACTATTGACGGGGGACTCGCTGGAGGAGAAAGGCGCGTCGCGTTCGCACATTGTTCACTGATAGGCGCGTGGCTAATTTACTTATACGTACGTGGCTTTGGAAGTCTGCCTAGTTAGGAAGCACATGGGGGCAGACACCAGCTGTGTGTGAAAGAGGGTCGGGAGAGGAGGCAGTTGTCGTTACTTAGGTAAAAGAGAAAAACTTAGCGGACTTTAGTCCCGAGAAGCTCTTGCTTTCTCTCCTCACAGCTGTCTTGTAGTGTGCGAGAAGTGCACACAAGGCCAACAGGACGAGTGGTCGGCGTTCCTTTGTCGTGAAAAGTATTCTGGGTCTACTTACCCCTCGAAATCCAGACCTGCCTGGCACATTTGTGCGATACGTCTCTCTAGCGCATTACCCCCGTTTACGTGGTCGTGATGCGCCAGTTGTCGCATTCGTATAAACGCTGTGCGTGCCGTGCTGGCTTACGGCAAACTGTCGACGCGCGGCTATACGCAAACGTGCTTTCTTATCGAGGAAAGACGAACTGGACCCCACTCCCAACAACCGTGGAGACGGCGTGCCGCCCTCTTGTTGAATGAAGTTAGTTAGTCGCCCCAGCTAGCAGCCGACTGACTGGCAGTTGCCTCGAGCTGTTAGGCTATAATCAATTTTACACGAATGCCAGAGTACCCCATCGACTTTGCAAGCGCGTTTCGGAAAGGTGATGCGACGCCGTTTGCAGGACCTCTCGTCTTCTGTACGCCGCAGCTACCATGTGGTGTCGGATTACAGCGAGCGAGTATCGGATTACAGCGACTTGTAGCTGGGTGAGTTGGTTTATGTAAGAGAAATAAAAAAATAACTCATTAGCTTAGTCGTGCCTCGAGCATGGGAAACAGAAATTCGCACAGTTTTCTGCGTCATCAACCACTATATAAATAGGTACATATTAGCGCGACGCCGCGAGCAAAATAACAATGACTTGAGAAAGGAGTGGCAGAAGGCAGGAATATCTCAGCTCCCGACACTTCTGCTTCGTCCCACTTCTTTCTCGAGTGTTTTTGTTTTCTTGAGCTAATATTAATTCCTTATAGCGAAAGAGGGACGCACGAAGTTCGCACAACGGGGGGCCACCATTCCCCTCATCGTGATTTACGATCCGTGAATCGACCGGCACTTGCAAAACTGCCCATTTTCTACGCATTAGTGCAATGCGCCTTCCATTGCTTACATGAATGCGAAGCGCATGTTTGGCACTCATGTAAACGTGTTTTATGCACACCGATGTCACCACACTTTCTTATAAACTTATCCTTTTCAGAAACGTTTCTGTTCTTTTCGAGCTACTAGGCGTAAGTCCAAGATCGGCTATTTCTACTCGTCAGCCTTATGACTCACGCTAACGAGTCAAGTAGCTGTTATCTTGACGCATTGACAGTTCTCTGCACGGCAGACTTTCCAATGACGAACTGTCAGCAGGTGCCGCATGCCCTTGACATTTTTCTCTATTCTTTTTCTCCCCTTCCCCCTCCACGTGTAGGGTAGCATATAAGCCTTTCCTTTGCCTTTCTCTCTCTCTCTCTCTCTCTCTCCTTCAGGCGAAAGCGTCGGCAAGGTGCCTTGTCGAATGGTGTTGTACACTGGCACTGAAGAAAACCAACAAGTTCCCTACTCGACGTTGCAATCCTTAGATTGAGTGGCATAAACCTTCAGTGCATAGGAAATATATATGGGCTTCACCACTGCCGCTCCCCCACCAGACCTGCTCAGTGGGAGCATAGTCAAAAGTTATCCGCCTTTCTGCCTCCCTGAAGGACCTCACTTGTCGCGGGTGCTTCAAAGCAGAAAAAAAGAGCCCTGGTGCCTCATTGCTGTCCCCGCGCCGAAGTACTTTCTTACACCAGCGCCGTGAATTCAGCAAATTTCATGCCACTTCGCTTCGTTGTTACTGGCTGAAAAATCTGCAAAATTTTCAGGCAGTAGCATGATTTTAGCCAGTTTATGCAGTGAGCAACGGAATAAATATTGCTCGGTTTTGTGGTTTATTGAAACCGATGACGGATATTCAAAGCCGACTGCGAGAAAAGAGTTTGCAAGCGCCCGCGTCCCCTTAGAGCGAGTTTTCAGTGATTATGAGAAGCGCCGTCATGGGGTAGTCCAGAACATTGGTGTTCGCGCATTTCGGCGCTATGGAAATGTGCGCTTGTCGTATATAAAAGCGGAAAGCGAACACGCGTCGTCAACTCCTGCCGCACCATAGTTTTCCCCAGAGTAAATAAATGAAATAAACACGCAGAAAGTACAAAACAGACTTCATCTCATTCCTGTAGGTGTGCCTCGTTTCGTGTTTGTGCTGTTTGTTGTGATAGGTTCATACCAACAAGCGCAGCACGTCTGAAGCTTCGTATATTTCACGGTAAAAAAAAAGATATTCACAAATACCTTACCCACGCACGTCTGCTCAGTTCGCTCGTATCGCTCGTTTGTCGTTCGTTTTTCTGCTTTCTTCTGACTGTCGTCGCACAGCCCTCGCTTTTCGCTATAGTCCGTGGGGGGTGAGGAGGGCGACAAAGACGTGCACACATAAAAGAGGGACTTTCCAAGAATTCGGCCTTTCTTTTCCCGTGAAGACGCTCACCCCATCCTCTCGGAGGATACTGCCCACCTGTTTTCACGCTCTCCCGCGGTACCGCGCAGCCTCATGAGACTCTGAGGGGAGGAAGGCTTACAGATGATGGTGCATGGTTTGAAGTTAGAAAAGACGTTTCCTCCTGAGGCAAAATGTTTTCGCACGCCGGATTCGGGGAGACGGGAAACCTTCAAATTCAGCGCTTTCCTTATTTCTGTTTAGGTGGCGCTAGGGGAAGATTTTCGTTGTAGTGATAGGAATAATGTAGATTTCTCAATATTCCTGCAGTTCATGTGTGCGATTTGTGTGCATAAGTATACCAGGAGACCGTAACTGTTATATTTTAGGCTATACATGCTTAGATTTCAGCGCTATTTCAAGATAACAACGATTTTGTTGATGTTTATGGCACGATAAATTAAGACAATTTGCGAGCTTTGTTTCGCATTTCTGCTTGCTTTATTGAAAAACGCTACGTTGAGGAAATAGATCAGGGGTTCTAGTTTATCCACGTGCAAATTCAGCTAACGAAATTCAGTAGTTCTCCGCGAAAATGGGCCACGGTAGGTCTATCTAATGACAATATTGGACAATTTAGATCAATATAATTAAAAAGCGAGCGGGCGTACATAAATAAAATTGAGCACTCAAACGAAAAATGCCATCTTCTATATACACCCAAAGAATGAATTTTCTCTAGCGAATAGGTGCCGGATAGTCCGCATCGACATTTACTAAATTTGGCTCTTTTCAAAAGCTAATCAGCAATACAGTAAAAGTGCTATAATAATTTGCTACGTTGAGGAAATAGATAAATATGTCTTAAATGTTCTGCGCAAAGAACAGTGCTGTATCTGGAGCAGATTTTTCAGAAAATGGTCACTGCTGACGCACAGTCAGACCAAACCATGTAACTAGCGCTTATTCTTGGCTCTCCCTACCCAAATGCTAAAAGCTTACTTATTTTTAATAGATATGTTTGAAATGTACAAAAATTAGGCTTTTCAATGACACATAAATTAACTATATAAGACAAGAAGAACAGCCGCCACGTCAGTTGGAAAAGTGACAAAAACGATGTGTTCGTGCCGCCGGAGTGAGACCGCCGCCTTAAAAGCTGCGCTCTAGGGGTCAGTTGAGGGATATCCCCAAATTCTGTGGCCTCTTAAGATAGATGTTTAGAGGCGGGGCTGATATTTCGGCTGGCATAAACAGCTGTACCACTGAAGACCCTGTGTAGATGGTTGCGGAAATTATTCAACATGGTAGAAATAATAGTGGTTAAGCTGTAAGTTGCACGGGTCCTAATGACTGAGGTTGACAAGAAGGGAAGAAAAAATTGGCAGATCTCACTTACCGTGCGAATTGATGATATGCGAAGCACGAGTGAGAACTGTTGATATGTCACTTTAAAATAAACACAGCAATAGAAGGTGGAGGTAAATGATGCCGTACATGGCTTCCGTGTCATGGTTATCATGTTTGGATGTGTCGTTTACCTTCGTCGTCTGTTCACGTCACGTGATAGCAAATTTAGTATGTATGGAGCTAGAGAAACAGCCGCGAGCACGCTATGCGCGTAGTATATTGTCATGTTCTTGAATAACACGCGTGTCAGTGTTATATTGTTTGCACCAGTCCGACGGCATGACGGCGGCATGCTGCGACGAAATGAACGCCAGCAAGCGCGCTCACTGCGTTACGTCAAAATGTATTGGCGCCTTGACTGTTGCATGTAGTCATGTTCTCACATGACACGCATCTCATGATTATCATGTTTGAACCAGTGACATACCTTCGTCGGCCATTGGTGTCACATAATACCAAATTTGGCATGTGTGAAGCTAGCCAAACGGCCACGACCGCATCATCAGTGTGGCATGTAGTCATGCTTTTACGTGACACGCATGTCGTGATTATCACATTTGGATGTGCCATTTACCATGCCGTTCGTTCGCGTCACGTAATACCGAGTTTGGTACATGTAAAGCTAACGAAACGGCCACGAGCACATCATGAGCGTTGCATTAAGCCATGT